CCTCATTATTATTTTTTTAAACACAAATGTTAGCACTTGATATGTTAACATCTTCCTTTATTTAACTATATGTAAATTGAAGACCATTCCATTTTCAACCATGAAAAAGCCTCCCCATCCTTTTTCATGGCTGCAGAATGGACAAGTTATTTAACCTTTCCCCTGCCAATGGACATTTAGATTATTTCTAATCTTAGCAGTGATGCAGTGAATAACTTTTTATATAAATTATTTTGTATTTGTGTAAGTGTACCTGTGGGATCAAATTTTGGCAGTGGACTTCTGGGCTGCAAGGTATGTGCATTTATAATTTTGATAGATATTGTTGTCTCCCCTCCCTAGAGGATGTACCAAAGAACAATCAAAGCAGCAATATTACAGAAGACCTGTTTCCCACACCCTTTTTAATACAGGGTATTATCGAACTTTTTGATCTTTGCTGTTCAGATAACTGAAAAAAGAGTTTTATTAGTATAGCCAATTTGCAATTTTTTTTTCTTTTAAATAACAAAATGCATGTTAATTGAGTATGTATTACACACTAGGCACAGTGCTAGAACTTACTTAAGTTACACAGTAACCCTATTAAGTAGATACTATTACCTCCTCTTTAGATGTGGAGAAACCAAAGCTCAGAGAATCTAAGCAACATGCCTGCAGTTTCATGTCCAAAATGGTTTGGGGGCCTTTTTTTTTATTTTTTATTTTTAATTGTGGTAGTTTAAATGAAGTTTACATTTCAAGTTAGTCTCCCATACAAAAATTCATACAGACATTATTATGTGACCCTAATTGCTCTCCCCATACTGTGACAGCACACTCCTTTCCACCCGATTCCCCATGTCCATTCAACCAACTGCTAACCCTCTCCGCCTTCCCATCTCACCTCTGGATAGAAGCTGCCTGTTTAGTCTCTTGTATCTTCTTGAGCTAAGAGGCACACTCCCCACGAGAATCACTTTATGTCCCACAGTTCAGTCCAATCCTGTCTGAAGAGTTGGCCTTGGAAATTGTTTTAGTTCTGGGCTGATAGAGAATCCAGGGCCATGCTTTCCGGGGTTCCTCTAGCCTCAGACAATTAAGTCTGGTCTTCTTACTAGAATTTGAGTTCTGTACCTCACCTTTCTCCTGCTCCATCAGGGACTCTCTGTTGTGTTCCCTGTCAGGGCGGTCATTGGTCGTAGTCCGGCACCATCTAGTTCTTCTGGTCTCAGGCTGATGAAGTCTCTGGTTTATGTGGCCTTTTCTGTTTCTGGGCTAATACTTTCCTTGTGTCTTTGGTGTTCTTCATTCTCCTTTATTCCAAGTGGTTGGGATCAATAAATGCATCTTAGATGGCCGCTTGCAAGCTTTTAAGACTTTGGGGGCTATTTTTAAGTTTAAGTTCAACCCTCTTGCACAGAGAAATGGCTGCCTCTTGACTGTCTGCTTGTTAGGTGATTACTGTATTTTACGCAAACAGTGCACACCTTGTAATTTATTTTTTAATAACCTTAAAAAAAGTTTCATCATAATTGTACCATTTGGAAAATGCAGAAAATCACAAAGAATAAAACAAGAATTATCCAGATTATTTTTACCCAGAGATAACCACTGTTAGTATTTTGGAATACACACATATTAAAATTATTCACTATAAATAGTTTTTTAATTAGAATAACACTTTTAGGATCAAAGTAACATATGTATTATAAAAACTTCAGTTAACACATAAAGGTATTAAGAAGAAATAGAAATTGAACTATAATCTGAAAACCTGGAGATACTAATAGTGTGTACATATTATTAGTCTGGTTTTCTTTCACGTTAATTTACATTAATTCAAGTTGTTGTTAGGTGTGATCGAGTCGGTTCCGACTCACAGCGACCCTGCGTACAACAGATCAAAACACTGCTTGGTCCTGCGCCATCCTCACAGTCGTTGCTGTGTTTGAGCCCATTTCTGCAGCCACTGCATCAGTCCATCTTGTTGAGGGTCTTCCTCTTTTTTACTGACCCTCTATTTTACCAGGCTTGATGTTCTTCTCCAGGGACTAGTCCCTCCTGATAACATGTCCAAAAATACCTAAGAGGAAGTCTCGCCATCCTCACTTCTAAGGATTATTCTGGCTGTATTCTTCCAAGACAGATTTGATTTGTTTGTTCTTCTGGAAATCCGTGGTATATTCAGTATTCTTCTCTAACACCATAATTCAAAGGCATCAATTTTTCTTCGGTCTTCCTTATTCATTGTCCAGCTTTCGCATGCATATGTGGTGATTGAAAATACCATAGCTTGGGTCAGGCACACCTTAGCCCTCAAGATGACATCTTTGCTTTTTAACACTTGAAGAGGTCTTTTGTAGCAGATTTGTCCAATGCAATACGTTGTTTAATTTCTTTTAATATAATTTTTTTAATATTTCTTTTTAATCATACTTTAGATGAAGTTTTACAGAAGAGGCTAGTTTCTCATTAAACAATGCACATATTGTTTTGTGACTTTGGTCATTGTTTACTTTCTTGACTGCAGCTTCCTTGGGCACTGATTGTGGATCCAAGTAAAATGAGATCCTTGACAACTTCAGTATTTTCTCTGTTTATTTTACTTGGATAATTCAAGTTACTTTACGTTAATTTACATTCTTTTTATGGTTGATTTGAACATCTTTTTATTTATCTAAGTTTTTATTATTTGACCTGTCTGTTCATAACCTTTATCTATTTTTCTGTTGTGTCTGTCTTTTTCTTACTAGTTCGTGTAGGTTTTGTATAAAGTAGGGAAATTAGCCTTTTGGCTGTGCTAAGAGTTACAGATATTTTAACCAGTTTGCCATCTGTCTCTTGACTTTGTTTATGGTAATTCTTGTCTTGTGAATTTTTTTGTTTGTTTTTATGAGATCAAATGTATCAAACTTTTCTTTAATGGCTTCTGAGATTTGAATCATAGTTGCTTCCTCACTGAAAGTTTATCAAAGAATTCTCCCATGGTTTCTTCTAGTACTTTTTGAGGCTTCATTTAGTTTTTTAAACTGTATAAATATTTGATCCACCTGGAATTTATCCTGGTATAAGGAGAGAGATTATAGCTAGCTACCCTTTCAGTGACTTGAAATGCCACTTTTATTTACTCTGTTTCTATATGTATTTGGATCTCTTTCTGGATTCTCTTCTTTTCCATTGGTCCATCTATCTATGTATTTGCTTGTATAATTCTGTTTTAATTATTGTTACCTCGATAATATTTTTTAAATGTCTAATATGGCTTGAACACTCCCTTATTACTTCAGCTTATCTGGTTCCAAAGCTATTATTTTATTGACATTACATTATTTTTATAGATTAATCCAATATATTGACATTCTTAGGGTATTTACTCTTGCTGGCTAGGAACAGGATACACCTTACCATTGACTTAAGTCTTTCTGTTCCTTGAGTAGTCTTTTAAAGTTTTCTTTTTAAATATCTTGCATATTTGTTAGGTCAATTCTTAAATATTTTACTTTTTCTGTTATAATTCACATCCGTTTCTAAATTTAAACTTTTTACAAATAAGTAATGTATTTTAGCCAGCTTCCATGAAAAAGTTAACGTTTGGAATTTTGTAACTTAGTTGCATCTGATTTATTTTGCTGAATACTAGTGCTTAAGAAACTTACAATCATTAGTGAAACAGGCTATTTTTTTTTTAGACTTTTTTTTTTTGTCTATTTTGTGCTACTGTCTTTGTTGTCTTGCACACATTTCCTTTCTGTGCCTCAGTTTCCTCATCTGTAACATTAAGAATCTGGATCAGATCTTATTTGAAGTCTACTAGTTCTGCCTCTCTTAATTCTGATGTAATCAGCTTCCTAGAGAGCTTGTATCCTTGCATGGAAGCCCTCTCGATGCGGGACCCATCTGACTCCAAGTGGCTGAGGACTGTCTGAACTTTGGATTCTCGGTCCCTTGTGGCCAGGCTGGTGGCCCATCCTCAAGACCATGTCCGGAAGCTGACTGTCCACCTTGCATGGCTAATCCGCATGGTAGGGTAAAGGTTCAGGGATCTAGTTTAGAGTTGCTTGCTTTGAAGTGTTCAGGGAGTCTGCCTTTCTTCTTTATTCCCTCCTCTGGATTCTTAGCCTTCAGGCTTACTGTCCTCAGGTTATCCACATGCCTCCTAACATACTGCCTTCATGGTCAACTCCTTCCTCCCCCCACGCTCCTAGGCAGTGGAACCTAGGAGTTAAAAGAACTAGCTTTGAAATTAGGCTTATGCTCTGATCCACCTTTTTCTCTCATCAGCTGTGTGACTTTCGGTAAGGTTTAGAGGGAATAATTGGAAAGTGCTAGCACGTGGTTACTCTAGGAAGCATCAGATCAATTGACTTGCTTAGTAGTAGTAATAGGTGCTTAATGCATATAAGCTCCATGCCGGCTGTGTGCTAGGAGCTTTTCTAGGTCATCCATTGAATCCTTATAAGCAGCGCCATGGGGTGGGGAGGGGTAGTATCCTTTTTGCAAATGAGGCATCTGAAACCCAGGGAGAAGTGACCTGTTCAAAGTGACAGAGCTAATGAATATCCAACCCAGAATTTAAACTTAAGTTTGGCAGCCCCAAGTTAGCCTTTCTCTAAGGACTTGAACAGCTTATCCTCTGTTCTAATAAAGTGAAATAAAGTCTCTAGAAATTACTCTGGATTGACACCGTTTAATAAAATTAAATGTTTTTATCTGCGCTGACCGGTACAGTAACCATTAGCCTCATGTGGCTGTTGAGCACTTGAAATGTGACTACTGGGGCTGAGGAACTAACTTTTTAATTTAATTTGTTAATTTAAATACCCACTTGTGGCTGGTGACTACCATAGTGGACAGTGCAGTTCTAGATGAATGGTTGCAGGTCAGTTCCTATGTAAGCCAGTAGGGAGCGCTCCTCCCTTCCTTCTCCTGCTACTCTCCACCCTGCTGCAGGTGGGACTTGCTTTTGGATGGATGATACACTCTGAGTTTAATTTTTGTTGCTTCTTTAATTCTAACAGTGTGAAGAGTGCCAGTGCTGGCAGCATGGGGTCTGCATGGGATTACTGGAAGAAAATGTGCCCGAGAAATACACCTGTTATGTTTGCCAAGACCCACCAGGTAGAGTTTTCTGGAGTCAGGGATATTAACAGTATGTGGTTTTTTTCCTTAGCACAGCTGGCCATGAAACATCCTAAGTATCTGTGGTTTGAGACTCATTTCTTTAGCATCGGTTGGACTCTTCCTTCTCCTTGCTTTTGTTGCTAGCCTACCTGGTGGCTAGCTATCTTGAACTTAGATTAAGAAATTCACCTAGTTGAAGGCCTGACTTTGAGCTGGAACTTTCCCTTTTCCTGAGAGCTCATGAGGATGGGCATGTGGGCCCTGTCCTTGGCTTTTTGGGTCTGTTGGAGGATTGGATACCTGGAAACCTGCCTTTGCTTCCTGTGGTGGCATCTGCTACCTGAAAGGGAGATATGCTCCTGAGGGAAAGAGGAAAGATGTGGTTGCATTGAGCCTGTCACCAGAGAGGACAGAGCAGTGAGTAATTCCTTAGCAGGAGAGGTTAGTGTCATTGTTCCATGGCCACATGGGTAGCCTGTGGCAATTGGGTGTCCCTTTCCAGAAATCTCAGAGGTAGATTATAAATCTGTGGGTTCTTGTCTCGCTGTAGTGGGATGGTGACATCTTTTCCTTTTTACTACCTGTAAGGTCCTCCTGCGAGCTCCAGTCCCACAATTCCCTTACAGCCAGACAATGTTTTAGTGCCTCTGCTTCTATTATTCTTTTTGGTCCTATGAGGTGGGTCTGGTAGGAGCTCCTACTCCCATTTTGTTTATGAAGAAATCGATGCTCAGAGGATGCATATGACTTGCCTAATCTCATAAAGGAAATTGGAATTAGAACTGAGTTGTGAGGCCAAATTGCTCGATTTTGCTGGTTATGTAGGGAACCACAGTTTATTTTCCAGCAGGTAGTTTCCCTGTAGCCCTGATGACACTGTGTCTCCTTATACTAGATTAGTCCATAGAGAGGCATCTGCCTCTGTTTGTCCTTTATCCCAAGAAAAGAACATGGTCAGAAGGTTAGTCTGTGAGTTACAGAATATTATTGATGGGCAGGACCTCAGAGACCACTTAGTTCTGTCCCCACATTGGACAGGTGAACAAACACAGGCCCAGATTGGACATGACTGGCCCGAGATGACTCAGCTGGTTAGCACCAGACCCTAGATAAGAACATGGGTATCTGAACCTTCGTTTTGAAAAACAGGTCATGCTGCTCTGAATGCTGCTGCTCACCCCCTGCCTGAGCAATTGCCTGTGAGATTCCCCCACATAACCCTGAGGGCTCCCTGGGGCTGCTGTTAAATCTCTTGGCTACCTTATTGTCTCTCCTCCTTTACCTCCACTTTCCCCCTGTAGAAGTTACACAACCTTTCTTCATCAAGTCCCTGTGCACATTCTGAACTTGATAACTTCAATCACCAAGACTCTGAATAGACTCCTTGAACAGAGCATTGAATGTCTGTCGCAGAGTCTGCGTTTATAAATTGTGTTTGACTTTGTGGTATTGGGCCAAAGTTTAACCTTTAAAGGTTATTTAAGGATGTTTTTAACAGAATTGAGGTGTGTCTTACTCCATATGTTAGTAAAGCCAGAAAGAATCCAAGGACCTTGATGGGGATTACCTGGGTTGTAGATGTATAGCTGTTGAAAGGTTAACAGCAGCTTGGTTGAAAGCTGTTCTCTGGGCTTCCAGAGCAGGAAACACTGTTGATTCACACATGGTTGTGTTTTCAGTCCTTCCTAAGGAATCCTGTAGTAAACAGGACCATTGAAGCCATGTAATTCATCTCTCATCGTAACAGATATGAAACAAGAGGTCCAGAGAAGGGAAGGGGCCTGACCATCTATTTCGTTAGGTGGTATAGTTGTGGGGGGGGAGGGGGGAGGCCTGGAGCTTTTTTCTGTTCATATAATCCATTCAGGGTGCCCTTTGCCAGGCACTGGGGATGCAACCATGAACAAGATGATTCCTGCTTTCTGGCTGTTAGTGGGACAGGGGTGAGAAACTGATGGGAAAGTAAATGAGATCAACAAGAACATGTTAGGTAGTGATCAGTGTCGTGAGCAGGGAAAAAGCGATCAGATAGGGGATGACTAGGAAGCACCAAAAAGACTCTATTACTTTGGGAGGTAATAAGACTTCTCTGAGGAAGTGTAAGGAGCCAGTCCTGCAGAGGCGTTGGAGAACAGCACCCCAGACAGAGAGGATGCTAAAGCAAAGATCCTAAGACCAGAAGGAGCTTGATGTGTCCCAGAAACTGTAAGGGCGCCACTCTGAGGGTGAGAAGATGAGGGCAGGAGGGAGCTGGGTCCTTCAGGCCTCATTAGGCCAGAGCTAGAGCTTTGGGTTTTCTTCTGTGAGCAGTAGGAAGCCATTGAAGGTTTTAAGTAGGAAAGAGAATGATACAACTTAAATTTGAAAGAGCTATCCAGGTTCCCATCCTACCTCTGGCCAGCTCCAGGAGATCTGGAAATTTATGTGCCTTATTCACTACCTTACCCCCAATACCTACCTACAACAGAGACCAGCATATAATAGGTGCCAAGTAAATGAATAAATGCACACCCCAATCTTTCCTTCCAGTGGTTGGTGTGGTAGTTGTGTGATAATGATGAAATGGCCTGGGTTTCCTTCAGGCTATGTTTTAACCCTCTCCTTGTCACTGCTTTAGGTCAGAGGCCTGGCTTTAAGTACTGGTATGACAGGGAGTGGTTGAGCAGAGGACATATGCACGGCCTGGCATTTCTAGAAGAGAACTACTCCCACCAGAATGCCAAGAAGATTGTGGCCACTCACCAGCTTCTTGGCGATGTGCAGAGAGTGATCGAGGTTCTGCATGGCCTGCAACTCAAGATGAGCATCTTGCAGTAAGTGTGGCACCTGCTGCTTTGGGGAGGAGTCTGATGTGGCGTGGTCTAGGGGCAGGATAAATATGAGAAATTGGAAAGCTGCAAAATCAATGTGAAAACAGGTGAGCTTGAGACCTTACTAAAAATTCTCAGGTATATGGTAAACATTCTTGACTGGTAAACAAAGTAATATGGAAAGCTGCTGGAAGAGGGATATTGTTGGCAGGTTGGCTCTCTAGCGTAGTGATTGCTCAATAAATATGCATCTCTTGGTGGTTTGCTCATACAGAAAAGTTTTAGGCTTTTCAAATTGTACTTCCGGCTTTTAGTAGTCAGAAGTTTGGGGAGTGAAACTGAGAGTAAATTCCCTTCTGTGGTCACGTTCTACATGTAAGATGACCAGGTTCATGTAAGGTCTGATAAAGACATGTAGCTCTTAGGTGAGGGCTGTTGGCTTTTGTAACCTATCCTCACTTCACCAAATAGGGCAATTGGGGCATTGAGTAGGGCAGCCACTCTCCATGGTTCCCCAGGAAAATGGCGGCAGAGCCAGGACTAGAACCCAAGTCCTGACTTCTGTCAAGAACTTGTCCTATACCTTTCTAACTGCTGCTCCTCAGCGATGCTGCATGGCCTTGTGGTCCCATGAGCCTTTCTTTTGGTGTTAACACAGTCTGTGGCAGGGACTTTTTCTCTTCTGCAAAATCTCTGCTTAAGTTCTCCCATGAACCTTCCCAAAGGGGACCATTTTAGTTAAGTCATAAACAATTATAAACTAATGCCACGAATGAGTTAAGAAATGATAGGCCTCTCCTTGGAGGCCTCCTGGGTCAGGCAGAGTAGAGCATTAGAGCCCTGAGGTGGCAGAATGGAAGTCTGATTCCTCTCGCACCTGCCTCTCTGAAGCCTAGCCTCAAGTATTGATACAACAAGGAGTGGTAGAGCAGGGAATGTTCAGCAGGTGTCTCTGTTAGTTCAAGTAAAAGCTAAGCTGCTATAATAAAGATTTCAAAAATAGAGGCTCAGACAAAATGGATATTTCTTTCTTACATAATGAAGGGTCCAAAGGTAGGCAGGGGTCCCGGCCAGAATTCCATCTTTGGGGACTGGGGTTTCTTCTGTCTTACTGTTCTAGCATTACCTCAGGGTTTCCTTTATCTGTATGGTTGAAACAGTCTCCCCTGCACCACAGCTCTGCCTCAGCCCCTGGGGAAGGGGAAAAGAGAAAAAGGGAAGAGCAAGCAGTTTCATTGACATACATAGTTGCAGGGGAGACCAGCCAGGTGGCCTGCTAGAATTTAGAAGTGGGGTGGGGTGGGTATAAGAGACTAAGGAGAGGATGGATGCTGGGGGCAATTAGCAGTTGCTGTGATAGTATCTGTTGAGGTGAACTGAATCAAATGACAACCCTGGATAGAATATCAGAGTCTAGCTGTTCCCCTCACATGTCACACAAGAGGATACTACTATACCCCATATAAACCAAATGAATGATCCTCATGAGATGCCAGAAATTGGCTGAGGTAGGTGGAAGGTGGCTCACGTGAGGACCTGAAAACATAAACTTTGCTATATTTCCTTTCATTTGAGGACTCAGTCAGATGGTGTTCTCTTTCTTCTCACTAAAATGGCAGTGATCTTAGCCCTGGCCCACATTCTGGGCCCTTGTTCCTTCTGGAACCCTGTTGAGATCCCTGATCTTTACAGCAGATGACTTTGTGTTTACTGGAATTAAATCTGATATTTCCTGTTCCAGCAATTCAGCAGAGAGAGGTCTTGTTAGACATTATAAATGGAGAAAAGATTAGGTAAAGAGGGCGGAGACCCCAGCATGTCTATGTACACACGGATAGTCTCTGCTCTCACAGGTTCTGGGTCTTCATTCTCAGAAATACTGTTTCCAAGTGACCTGGTGAGTTTATGTTCAAAGGCAAACAATAAAGCTGGGAGTGACTTCAGATCATCTGTTGTCATCAAAAAGTGGCAAGTATGGCTGTGGATACTTATGATTAACAGGGCTTACAAGGAAAGGCCACGGTTATCCTTGTGAGGAGTAATAGTTAGGGCTTCAGAACTTAACTGGGAGGGGGAAATTGTAGGAGGGAGGGAGCAAAAACTTTTGTGATTTTTATGAAAGAGGAGATCTATACTGTGCCCCGTGTGCTCCATATTAACTGATTTTTGACTATAGGCTGACCGGAAAGTTCACAGTGACTCCCTTTTCACCTGAAGCAATTGTGATTTCAGAGGTGTGTCCCAGGATCTTGAGTAGGCTCCTGGTAGAGCCTGAGCTCTGACATCTTGCTGGGAGGTGGCTCAGGGACCACCTTCATGTAGATTGCCTTGATGCCAGTTGTTTCCTGTCCTTCTTCAATGGGTAGGAGTGGCATGGGGATTGCTGGAATGGGATCTCTTGGGAGCAGAATTTAGGTTCTGTGAAATAGCTCCATCCTTCATTTTTATGGCCTATTCCATTTCTGCAGAAGACTTCAGTTAAGTGGGGATACCCATATGTGGGAGTTGCTGGTGAGTTAGTATTGTGCTTTCCTGCTGATTAGATTTCAGTGTTTCTCAGTTGGGGACTGAGAGGGTGCTGTTGGCAATTATAATGTGGGATAATTCTTTGTGTGGGATTGTCCTAAGCATTACACGATGTTTAACATCCCTGAATTCTATGAACTCAATGCCAGTAATACCTCTCAAGTCATTGTGACAACCAGAAAGGCCCGCACAGGTTTCCACATACCTCTGTGAACTAAATGTGAGTACCACCTGTCAGTCCTCATGTTTCTAAACACCCCTTAAGGTACTGCCATTCCACTGAGAACTGCTGGTAACCAGTGGACCTTACCTGAGAAGCCCACTGCCTTTCTGTAGGTTCATTCTCCCTCTTAGTCCCCCCTCCCCTCAGGGTTATAATGGAACTTAATAAAGAAGAGCTAAAAGGCAAAGTTTATCTATAGTAGTAGCTTTTAAACTTTTAAAAATATATATCCCACAGTAAGAAATACATTTTCTGTCATTCACACATATAAAACTGAAACTAAAGTTTCACGAAACACCTACCCTTAGAATGATGCACTCTGATATTTTCTATTTTTTTTTTCCTTCTTTATAATTTATTTTTATCTACTAAATTAATTTTATGACCTTCTCATGGGTCAAAACTCAAGCAGTGAATGATTCTGGGAAACTCAGAAGTCATACCCAGAGTTTTATGTGCGCATACAAGTACACAGATCTTTCAACAGATTCTAAGAGGAGTCTGTGGCCCAAAAAACAGTAAGAATCCCTGTTCTTCAATAACAAATTTTTCTCTTTGGAATGGTGAGAATGGGAGATGTTAGAATAATTTTAAGACACTTTATTATTAATGGTCTACATATAGATGACGTTGATTCTCTGCCCCCGAGTCATCATTGCCTTTTTATAACCAAGTGCTATTGCATGCTGGGATTATTGTGACAGTTTTATTAATTAAGGTTACTTTTAGTAAGCTACATTTGAAGACAGCACTTTACCTTCAGCAAAGCACGTCCATTCAAATTAATTCACTTATTGTTATAAAAGTCAGTGGTTGATGGCAGACAGATGATTAGCCCAATTTTATAGAGGGAAAAACTGGAATGAGGCAGATGAGTGACTTGTCACAGCTGCACAGTTAATCAGGGGCTGAGGTAGAACACAGATCAAGTCTTCTGACTGCAAGTCCAGTCCCACTCCCTGTGTGTGTGCAGCGGGAGCTTGCCTGGAAGTGGTCTCCTAAGAGACCAAGGATTTACAGTCCCTCTTGCTTGGCAAATAGTGGTTTGTGGCCATATGGCTCAGGTGGGAGCTATTCTCCTTCTTGGAAGAAGGTTTGAGAATTGAGAAGCCTCTCCCTCCAGTAATCCCAGTAACTCCAAAGCCCTTTCCCTGTTTGCCCTTCCAACAGAAGCAGGGAGCATCCAGATCTGCAGCTGTGGTGTCAGCCTTGGAAACAGCGCTCAGGGGAGGGACGATCTCATTCCAAACACATCCATGTTGCTGAAGCCAAGAGCAAGGAGGAAGCTCCAAGCTATAGAACTTTGAACGGGGCAGTGGAGAAGGCCCTTCCCCTGCCCCGGTCTGTGGAGGAGTCCTATATCACCAGCGAGCACTGCTACCAGAAGCCCCGCGCCTATTACCCTGCTGTGGAGCAGAAGCTGGTGGTGGAGACCCGGGGCTCTGCCCTTGACGATGCCGTCAACCCCCTCCATGAGAATGGTGATGATTCCCTCTCCCCACGCCTGGGCTGGCCTCTAGACCAAGATAGGAGCGGGAGAGATAGTGACCCCAAACCCAGCTCCCCAAAGGTATGTGGCTCACTTGCACTTTGTTTGTTTTGCTTGCACTTCTTCTTAATTCAGTGTTTGAGTGATTTTAGGTTCTCCTGGAGCTAAATGTTCTCTGGAAGACATGACAACTTTATTATAAAATTGTATTTATTATAAAATTTATTTACATTTTCTTATCATAGATGTTTTTTGGTCTTTTAAAATGAGTGCAAAGTCAGGAGAGCCACTTGAGCCAGAGATCATTAATTCCAGGAAATGCCCATGAAATGGCATAATCAGGGGTGGGTGAGGTGGAGGGGTGGGAAGCAGCAAAGAAAAAAGGGTTGATAGGAACTTGGAAAATGAAACTGACTTAGGAAATTGAGTTTTTTCTTTAATGCAGTTTATAGTTGCACATAGGTGCTAATTTTTTGCATGAGCAAAGTATGAATCAAGTGTTTTGTTAGGCATAAATTTTTCAGTGAAATTGTATGATAGTTTTACTTGGACTTTTAACTTTGCAGCCCTGTCATAAGAAGGGTTTATTTTGTCAAAATATTTGCTAGTTTCATCAGTTTTCCTAAGAGTTACTTTCGGTTTTATGTTATTCAAGTCATTCTGCTCTGAAGCCCTTTGTGTCATCCTCCTTGCTGTTCACTAGTCTCATCCTGCTCTGTCCTCAGTGTCAAACAGGCTGTGTGTGGTTTGAGAGCTTCTCCATCCTTGTCATCCTCACAGCCTTACTTTCACAGACTTCATCCTGTGAGTTAGTGTCACCAGTGTTAAATACATGGCTGCATATTGCCCAGAGGGCACACTTTAGATTGTAAGCCCCTCAAAGGTGGGCTCATTCGTCCTTGTGCCCTCGCCAGCGCCTAAACATGTGGGGCGAGAGTGGTAAGACACAGTCTTCTGAGACAGACCCATGTCAGGTCTGGGCTCTGCCACTTACTGTGTGATTCTGAGAAGGTCACTTCACCTCCTCAGATGTGTTTCTTCATCCATGTATGGGGCCAATGACAGTTCCTTGTCAGCTGTCATGGAACTTCTTTGTGAAAAGCTCTCAACACGTTGCTTTGTAAATAGTAAGCCCTAAATAGACATTGGCTAGAATCTATTTTCATTTAAAACATATGAATGAAAAGATTGGGATCACAAAATCCAGACAAAGTTTGTGGCCCTGTGGCTTAGGCAGCCTGCAAGTTGGCCCCCAGATTTCTTAGAGGCATCTGGCACATAACCAGAAATCAGGAAATGCTGGGCCCAAGCAAGGCAACCATGGTTAAAAATCCCTTCCATTGATAATGAGCTGACTGTACGCCAGGCACTGTGCTTTTATATATCTTATCCTGTTTTATCCTCATGAACCTGCAAAGTAGATTTTATCAACTCCATCTTTCCAGTGAGGGAACAGAGGCTCAGAGAGGTGAAGTAGCTAATCTAGGGCCATCTACTTAGCAAGAGACAGAGCTAGGACTTAAATCTAGTTTGTGTGACTCCCACATACTAATCCTTGTCTACACTAGCCCTGCTGTAGTCAGATCTCAGGGCTCTGGAAGCTATTCTGTGGGGCTTACTTCAGGCCTAGGGCATTGGGCCTGTCAGTGGGAAGCAGCTGTGAGGCCCCCTGCCAGAGGTCTACAGTGTGCTACGCTGAGGTGGTTGGGACTGGTACAGCACAAGGCCTAAGAGGGAAGGAGGAAGGAGAGATAGATAGGGATTTGGAGTATTTAAACAACTGGCTTTTCAGATGATTGCAAACACTGACTTGTTGGGGAAGGGGCTATGGGCTCTCTTTTACTCAGTAACTTAAACACCACTGCATCCCCAGGTAAGGGAATATGTGTCCCAAAAGGTCCTACCAGAGGAAGCCCCTGCTCGGAAGCTGCTGGACAGAGGCGGAGAGGGGCTGCTGAGCTCCCAGCACCAGTGGCAGTTTAACCTACTGACCCACGTGGAGTCTCTTCAGGACGAAGTCACGCATAGGATGGACTCCATTGAGAAGGAGCTGGATGGTAGGTCGTCTTCTTGGCTCCCTGCTCCATGGCATGCCCTCTGAGCCTGCCCAGATGAGCTGCTTTCTGAACCCTCTGAATCTGGCCCTGGTTCGCTTTCCAAAGACAGCTCTATTTTTGGCTCCTCTTTTGAGCCTTACCCCACCTCCACTCTCCCCTCAAGATGAGCAAGCCTTACTTTTAGTATTATCGGACACTTACAAGGATTGCAGGATGTCGGGGATCTCACCTCACTTGCCGAATCCTGTCTGCAAAGGAGGGTGTGTAGAAAAAGAGCTATTGGACTCTGCCTGCAGAAAGTGTATAATCTGAGCAAAATCTTTACTAACAAAATTCTGTGCAGAATTGAAATTTTGACTACATTGAGTTTTTAGGATGTCTGAGGATTACTCTGAAAAACTTCTTATTTCAGCCTGTGAAGAAATCTTTTCTTCCTTAGCCAGAAGAGATTTAAGGACTTGACTGAGTCATTTGTGTGGCCCCTGAGTATTTCTTCCATATGTTAGTGGTCACAGCTGGGCTTGAAGGACTGAACTTGTGATGATGAATATGATCAAGTTCAGTCTCTTTGATCCCCAGGGAGTTGCTGGTTTTGGTTATTGAGGACCAAATTCCTTCTTGATTTTTCACTTCTTTCCTGATTATTTGTTTTCATCTCAAAAACGGAGCCCAATCAAGAAATAAATGTTCTGTTTGAGGATTCTAGGTAGACTCAGGCTATTATTATTGTAGCCAGGGATATAAAACACACATGAAATAACTCAGAGAAAAATGCTGTTATGTTATATAAGCAAGAGTCATGAGGTGTGGCCAGGATATTTGTTTGACTGAGGCCATGCCAGAGGAGAGAGCCGTTGCTGTGAGCCAAAGTAGTAACTGGAAGGCTTCCTGGAATGCCTGGGACTGAAGCTGAGCCTTGAAGAGAGTGATGATGTTTTCTGGTAGAGAGAGGGATAACTTAGGGATAAATAAGGGGACTGGCTCAACTGGAAAAAACCTGTTGGAGGAAGATGACAGAGAGAGACCTACAGGTGCTCATGTCCTGCCTCAGGCAAACCTGAGGAACTGGGAATGGGAGGCTAATCCAGGGTCCATAGGTGGGCGTTTCTGGAAGGAGGAGCGTTTCCATCTCTCTTTCACCCGCTAAAAGGTTTCCTTAGGCCCCTTAGAATTGTAACTGATGTTACTGTCTGTGAAAATCCTGATATTAGAGAGCCAAGAGAAGATCGAATGCCAGGCTGAAAATTGTAGATTTTGAGAGAATGGCAGTAAGAGTGATTCCGGGTCCCTGGAAGGAGGCTTAGCACCATGGAAGCAGGGTGAGAATGTTCCATTATTGCCAAAAGAACCTGCCCTTAGGGAGAAATCAGGGCGTGTGTATATCATACTGACCTCTTTATCCCTCCTCCACCCAGCTTGGGCCTCTCCAACCCTGGCTTCACTGAGTGGGCAGTGTGGTGAGGATGACAAGCTTGGGCTCCCTTCTCTGGCCTACCAGAAGACCTCTTATGTGTCCTGCTGATTTGGGGCCACATACTCTGTTTGTGTTCTAATATTCTAGGTCCTGAGAGATACCAAGGAATCATGAAAATCAATTATAAAGATTTTGTTTAGGTAAATAGAGTTTCACATTGTATTTGAGATTTCATCAGAATCCCTTTTTATTTCGACCGTAATAGGGAACCAACTCTTCACTTCTTCTAAATACCATCAAGATAAACTGAACTTTCATAGGAATTACCTTTAAGAAAAACTTATTAAAGTTATTATATTGATGTATATACTTTCTAAAATGTCATTTTAATATTAACCATTATTTAATAATTTATAGTTATGTGAACAGTATTTTAAAACTAAAAGACAAAGGATATTTGATGACCATGAAGAGAAAAGTAAAATACTAAATCTTCTAGCATTAAAAATATTCTTCTTAAAAAAAAATATTCCCTTAAGTGAACAATGGCCTCTTATATAGATAATCTTAGAATTGTAACTGATGTTACTGTCTGTGAAAATCCTGATATTAGAAAGCCAAGAGAGGATCAAATGCCAGGCTGAAAATTGTAGATTTTGAGAGAATGGCAGTAAGAGTGACTCCAGGTCCCTGAAAAGAGGCTTAGCACCATGGATTTGAAATGAAATGAATTTGAAATGAAATTTTTCCTTTTAACCTTCCGTCTTGTTGGCAGTCATTATACTGCTAAGAAGGTGTTCAGCATCCTTACAAGAGAAACATGGGATGGTGGTATGCACACAGTGCAGAGAGAAGGCTGGCCTGCTAGATGCTGTGGGGTCCAGAGGAGATGCTTTTGACCTCAGTGAATCCCCCACAGTTCTGGGTCTGGTTTTCAGCCCTGCAGACCTAGAGAGAAGGCTGCCATCTTGGGGGCTTCAAACACACCTGTCAACCAAGCCCAGAGACTGCTGAGTGGCCTAGGCGCGTCTAGTCTGCACATTGGTGCTTTTTCTCTCAGTGGCCACCACATTATTGGGGTGTCCTTTGGTGAGCCCAGAATCAGATCTGGGAGAGATATAGTGATCTTAAGAGGGGCCTCTCATCAGCTGTAGGATCATCTTGCCAAGGACTGACTGACACTCTTTTTCTCTCTGCTGGAATCGACCCAGCCAGCCCTGACTGCCTCTTCTCCAGACTCACCCAGATGAAGCGGTCTTTTCTGAGCAGTCCCATCTCCTAGATTTTTGTTTTTGTTTTTAAAAAAAAAGATTGATTGATGTATTGAAAGTAGTCACTGTGGAGTTTTTCTGGCTTATGAGGCCACTAATCTCATGTGACTTTGATCCTTTACTCTTGGTTTTCAAGTTTGGCAGTCATATTTTTCTTATTTCCAAGTCCTTTTACTTGCCGTGATCAGGAGGAGGGAAGGCCTCCCTGGAGCCCCCAAGGATCAACAAGAAATATGATAGAGGGAAGAAGGTGAGCTCTGTGGAGCCCAGAGCAGTCACTGGGGCATTTCACTAGGACCATTCATTCATTCTCTCATTGCATTTATGGAGCGCCTACTATGTTCCAGGTACAAATAAGTGTTAGAGATATAATGGTGAGCAAGGCCCTCTCCGCCTCTGCCCTCATGGAGCTTGTTCTAGTTGGAAAGAGAGTTATTAATTAAATAATCCCACTGTATATGCTTACAAACCATGGTGAGTACTGCAAAGAAAGAGCACGTAATGCCATAATACTAGGGAGCAGATTCAGGGTGGGGAGTTGGAGAAGGCTTCCCTGAGAAGTTACTTGCAGGGAACAAAGGATTTAGAAAGGTGGAAGGCCTTTGAGTCTGAGAATAAGAGAGGATTGTGTGTGAGGCTGCAAGCTGCTTGTGTATCAGGCACCGGGAAGGTCTGCACCCGCAGCTCCAGAGTCCGGAAGGTGCTCAGTACAGTTTGGTGCGTTGACTAGAAAGGCTGTAGGCAGGCTGGAGTAGGCACAAGGACTACCTGGAGGGTCTGGCTCTTGCAAAAAATCCAGGGTACCCAGATGGCCTCTCCTCAAATGCCAGAGCTTTAGGGAGTGGTTTTGGGAAGAAAAAACATCTTTCTACAGGGAAATCCCTGCTCTCACAAGCAAGACAGCTTTTTATATACTGAACTCCAATTATAATCAAGTGTGTTAGTAACTGGACATCTTACATTAAATACTTAGAGAAAATAAAATCAGACTATTCTGTGCCACTGCTGATTATGTATTGATAAGAAATTAATATGAAGTAAATCAGAATTTATGGTGATAAAAATAGACCTCCTCAAAAAAAAAATTGACCCTTTCAAGTCCCTTTTGATTTTCAGTTTTCTTGACAGGAGGCTAAAATGCCAGGCTCTGATTTCTACCATGGGAAAGCTTTATAAAGAGTGGGCAGTAACCCTGAGAAAGGTTGAGCCTTCAAAGCCCTCTAGACTCCAGAGCTGCGCTAATACCGTAGCTACTAGCTATGTGTGGCCATTTAAATTAATTAAAATGGAATAAAATTTAAAATTCATTCCTCAGTTGCACTGAAACCACATTTCAAGTGCTCAATAGCTGCATATGGCTAGCAGCTACCATATTGAACAGCACAGATATAGAACATTTCTTCATTGCAGCAAGTTTTATTGAACTGCACTGCTCTAAAGCAGTTGAGCCTTATCACAGGAGTAGTACTTTGCACAGCCAGTGGTGTTGAGTCATCGTTGGCTGAGATGGTCCCCCTCCACTCTTCTCCCATCATGAGTGGTCAGACGGGATGAGGTGCTGATGTTCTTGCAAATCAAGTGTTGGGAGCTCATTGGGTCTTGTTTCTTTCTCTTCTGCCAACAGTGTTGGAGAGCTGGCTGGACTATACTGGGGAACTGGAGCCCCCAGAGCCATTGGCCAGGCTACCACAGCTCAAGCATTGCATCAAGCAGCTGCTGACGGACCTGGGCAAGGTACAGCAGATTGCCCTCTGCTGTTCATCATGAAACTGGGCACCTAAAACTAATGGGGGCACAATCCTGGGGCTCCTACAGGAGAAGCTTCATATATTTAAATAAATAAACCTAGCATGCTGAATGCACGTGACACCGACAGACTTCAGGGATCTGGGCAGGGGTGTGATGGACATTGGACAGAGGCCATTTTAGATGCTGGAGGGCAGGGCACTCTGATCTCAAAGCCTGCCAAGAAGGTAGCAAATAAGACTCTTGGGATTCCCTTTTTCTGTGCACATCGTCAAATGAAGAGCGAGTCTTTTTGCACAAACCTCACTTGAAATCGTGCCACTGATGATAAATGGAATGAGAGCCAAAAAAAGTTTAGTTGGAAACAGTTGTAAATTCAATTTGCAGCTTATTTAATTGACTTTCCTGTCAGGTTGGGACACATGCCAGCCCGTCTGGTTTCTGCCTGGCATGGTGTTTAGTCAGCATCATTTTCATTTTCCAACTTCATGGGAATGTTCGGACTTCATTCTGTGGCGTTTGGGCAGGAGCAGAGGCCGTGGCTGCCCTACCATCTCGTTAGGACTTTTCACTTTTCTCACCACCTCTCTTGCATGACTTCACGGTACAGGGGACAAGTTTTGTATGCTTTCACCCCAGAGTTGGGTGGGTTGTGTCTTTTGTAGCAGAGCCCATATAGCCTGTGGAGAAACTAGAATCTCATTGTAATAAGAATCTAGGACAGATTCCAAACTGAAGCAGGCAGGGTCTGGAACCTAAAGGACATAATTTTCTACTCACTTCTTAATATTGACAGCTTCCCAGTTCTATTTAATGTCCAAAAAATGTTTCCCAAAATTTTGAACTCTTTCACTGTAAAGATTTGTTATAAAGAAGGTGGTCTGGGAAATTACCTTATTTTATATTGTTGTAAACAAACTTCAGATTCTACATGTGCCGCTTTTCTCCCAGGAGGGGAGAGTATGTTCAGTGGTCAGTGTTTTCAGAATTGTTTTGTTAATATACTTTAACACTTTAAATTTCCTGTTTGTATTTTGTGAGATCAAGGTGATTATGCTGCTTAAGGTCCAGGTATGACATGTTTGTACCTTTTGAGACAATATTTGTGTTACTTTTGCAGGTCACGGTTCCACATGTAATTGCTGTTTATTTTTATTTTTCCTTACTAGTAGGCTAAGTGAAAGAAGACGTTCTATGCTTTGAGGAGTGACCGTTACACCATTTAGTTTTCTTGTTATCACTGAAGGCAAAAATCACAGTTGTCCATTAACATTTACAAGTTAATTATCGGTTTAGGAATCTGTTATATGCTGCAAACATTTACTATGTAAACATTAAGTAGCCAGTATCTCATAGCAGTGACAGTATCTCCAGGAACCTTTGGAATGATTAGGCTGTAAGGCACCTGTTGTCGTGAAGGCCTCTGTACTAAGGTCTGTTTCAGGGAATACTGTCTAGTGAATTGTTCACCATTTGTATAAAATGAATTATAGGGCAAGTATAAATCGGCCTTCTATAGCTTATCCATCAGAGGGAGTACTTGCAGCTGTAACATCTGGAATAAACCTGACAGTTTCTCTACAGGAAGCTGTTTCCCATTGCTAACATTGGTGTTTCTGGTGTGAAAAGACACTCAAGAGAGTGTGTGTGGCATCTGTTTTGGATAATTAATCAGACAGCACATTTTAAGAACTGTGACACTTGTCTGAAAAACAGGATGATTTTCTGTAGCCACAACTGTGAGGTATGATGACTGTTGTATTAGATTACTGATCTTTCTTTTGTGAAAATACATTTATCATATCTGAGGAAGCTGTAACTTTTTAGGTAGTCAATTTCATATCTTTTTCAAAGATAAAAACAGAAACTGAATTACCCTCATTTTGCCAAGTGGCCATTATGGGTTCGTTGTTTAAGTTTTATAAAGGAAATAACCCCATTTCACCCATTGTGACTTTTGTCCTTAGGGAAGCAGGGAGGACTCTCCAAGTTCTGACCTCAGTGTGCTTCCCTAATTTAAGCCATGTTGAGGGGCTTGATCCCCAATTCCTAGTTCAAGATGAACTAACCCCAAGTTGGAGCACTGGAAACTACTATTTGCAGACATTACTGCTACCATTTAGACACATGTGCACTACCTAAGTTTTGTTTTTTTTGAGAAAAACTATCCACCTACAAAAATTGCCTTGATTAAAAACAGTTCTGGTTTGACTAACCATTTTAAGTGATGAGTGTATGCAAGGTGGACCCTTGATGAGCCAACATTGCACTGTGGATACATACCTATGTTTACGCGCTATTAGAACAGAACGCGTTGTATATAGAAATGTAATGTTGCTTTGAAGCAATATTTGCAAAACATGCAAACTTCTGTATTTGGAAAAAATAAAACAGGTTTTTGTTGCTATGTATCAGTTACATGTTATTGACATAAAGATTTTCACTCTTTTTAATATGCATTAATTTTCTGTAAGCATCACCTTATAAAAGTCTGCTTTTACATTCTAAACAGATTTATCTTTTGCAGGGAGGCAGATGCAAGCTCAAGATCCCAAGAAAGTATACAAATACTTTTAAATGACTTTTTAATATTCAAAACCAAAATGCCCCACACCAGCCTCTAGCTCAGTCTGGCTGTGCTTTGTGGTGCTAGCTGCAGAATTATTAGATTTTGATTGTTGACAGCACTACAGGGATTGGTCTGGCCTTACCGGTATTAAGAGATGGCACCTATTGCAACTAGGACCCTTTTGGGACTAATCCAAGCTGCCCATGCACCCTATTTAAGTTCATCCTGGGTGGGCAGAAGCCTCAGGGAACAGTTGAGTAGCTTTTAAGATTTCAGAGCTTCCCAATTCCAAATTCCTTCTTCCCTTTCTAAACAATTATGCCTGTTTTTAAAAAGGGGGCCAGTTGTGGAGACACTCATTAAAATGAGTAGCTCCAGCAATTTAAATAACCCACTGGTTCACACCAGTTTTGCTTCTTAAATCTTACTAGAGTCTACAATTTGCAAGGAAGGAGGCGAGGGGGTCTGGAGGCATAAAGCAGCTCTCCATAGTCTCTGTATGGGCCTGGGAAAAAACACATGTAAATAGCCCAGTAGCTCTGGCCTTCTGGGACGCCTTTGTCCTAACGGTAAATAAGTTGGTGGCTGTATTGACAAAGATAAAGCAGCTAAGAAGCATTTAAGAGCCAACTACTTTGCCTGCAGGATTTTACAACCACCTATCAGACAGGACCTATCACTCTCATCTTTGGAGATGGGAAAAACAAGATCAGATTCTAGCTTGTAAGAGGTAGAGGTGGAAATGGAACCCAGGCTGCGGGACTCCAGAGCCTGCTGGTAAGCCGGATTACATAGCCTCCCAGTAAGCAAAGAAAACGCAAAAGAAACCCTGAAGAGCGCAGGAAAGAAACTTTCCGGATGTGGTGGAGGGATCGGCCCAGGTTTAGCCAACACATAAGAGTCCCACAAAAGCCAACAATGACCCAAGGAATAAGAAACAAAGGCCTTACTCTCCTAGGCTCCCGACTTCGTTTTGCCACCAGCCAGAAAGAAGGTAAGAAATAGGACTGGGAACATAAACTCAGTAAAGGACGAACGAAAGAGGCACATCAGACTACAGGAACTGTCAAAACACGCTTTTCATTAACGCAGGGTGGGGAGCCAGCTTCAGGGCCCCGGATCCGATAGTGGCCCCAATCCACAAAGAGCGGCCGAGCCGCCCGCAGCCCCGCCACTCAGCCCGTGATGCGCACATCGGTGCGGCGGCCCCGCCGCCGGGCCCGTGCTGCCTCGGGCAGGATGGCGTGCAGCTGCTCCTGCACTAGCATCTCCACGATCTGCTCCTTGGTGCGGATGTCGGGCCGCAGCCACTGGCGGGAAAGCTCCCGCAGCTGTCGGAACGCCTCCCGCGGGCCCGCCGCGTCCTGGTATCGGAACTGCCGGAAGCGCTGGCGGAACGTCTCGGGCCCGGGTCTGGAGTATCCGGGGCTTGGGGGCGAGCGCGGAGCGGCGTCGGCCAGGGGCGCAGAGCCCAGGGGCGTGGGCCCGAGGGGCAGCTCCGGGGCTGCGGAAGCTGCCACGGGAGGCGTAGGGATCGCCTTGGGGACGGCGTTGGGGCTGGAGGATTTGGGGGCGGGCGGTGAGGCCTCTGGAATCGAAAAGGAACCTGCGGAGCTACGTTCCAGGTCCGAGCTCGGGCCGGCTCCATCCCGTTTCTCCGGCGGCGCTGCGGGGCTCCCAGACGCCCCAGTGGCCACCAAGCTCTCCTCCGTTGCCGCCATGACTCCGGCTCTGGACGTCACTCTTTGTCCGGCAGCTATGGGCTCAACACTGCGTCGGCGCTGGTGTGGAGGGTGGGGGGAGGGAAACGTTTCCGACTAAAGGGCAGAGCCTGCGCAACCCTTAAGGGAGGCGGACGGGTGACGGCCTGCGAGCGCGAGGTGCCTACCTGCAACCGCGAGGCTCCTCGGGTGGCCGGAAGCGGAAGTTTCCTCAAGCTTCTCTATGATCAGGTCGTCGCTCGAGCCCTGGGGAGCCAAGTCCCTACTCGAGGGAGAGTCGCCCCCTAGCGAGTTGCTTCAGGAAGAAGCTGAGGTCGCGGAGTCGCAGGACAATCTAAGCATGTGGGGGTCTGAGCCCTATAATGGCTCCTCCGCGCACCAGTTTCAAAAGGAGGAAGAAGAGAAGGAGGAGGAACAGAAGGAAGAGAAAGTAAAGAAGGAGCAGCCCAAAGGTGACGACGTGGACTTCTCGACTGGACTCCTTAGTTTCTCTGACCACTTCGTCTTTCAGGTGACCCGCGCCAGCCCCGAAGGGCGCGCCTCCTCACTTAACCCTATTTAGGATGATGGCGAGCCTCACTTGACCCTATTTAGGATGATGGCGAGGCCGTGGCTTGGGTAAAGCGGTGCAGGACAGCAGGCGGGGCGCTGGGGAGGGTGTGGCTCTGGAGCAGCTGTGTAGCTTCGAGTCGGGACCCCGCCGCTCACCTGCATGAATCCTTCGCTCCTAAATCCCTCATCTGTCAAACAAGGAGGGCAGTAGCACCTGTCTCATTGAGAGAATGACAAATAACAACGTGTGTAAGATCCTCCACACACTGCCTGGCACAGAGTAAATGCTCAAGAACTCTTTGCCATTCTTATTTTTTTGCGTGTCCTCTGAAACCAAGGGGCAGGTGGCTCTGCGGGTTCTCTTTTAACTTTAGGATTAGTAGCAGAATGTAAATGCGTTGCCCCATACGGTGGCCACTAGCCCCATGTGTGTACTGAGCCCTTGAAATGTGGCTCGACCGAATTGAGATGTGCTGTAATGTAAAATACTGGATTTCAAAGATTTAGTACGAAAAAATAATGTAAAATATATAAATAACTTTATATTGATTACATGTTGGAATTACAGTATTTTGCATATATTGGGCCAAATAAAATATATCATTGAAATCAATTTCACCTGTTCCTTTTTACTTTTGGCTACTACAAAATTTCTGTTCAACAGCACTGAGCAGAGGGTTGGAGTTAAGGTGCCTTGGTGGAATACCCATTGTAGAGTTTATTTGCCTTTTGGCCTCAGGCAATAATAGTACATACCTCTCAGAGTTGTTGGGAGGCTAACTGGGTAAGCACTTGGAAAGAAAGGGCTTTTTAAATGTTTGCTGTTCTTTTCATTAGGTAAATTGGTTACTATCTCTGAGCTACTGTTTTCTTATCTGTAAAATGTGGATGTAATAAAACTGCCTTCATAAAGGGTACTCTTAGAATTCAGTAAGATGATGCAGGTAAAAAGCACCTAACTCTGACAGCCGTTCAGTAAATGGTATTATATTCTGTTTGACAGCTGACTCACAAATAGGTTTTGTATCCCCATTTTACAGCCAGGGGAACATGCCCAGAGAAGGACAGGGGACTATCTGAAAGTTTTTGTATAACCCTGGAAGCTCTGTGTAGGATCGGTCGACATGTGTACCAACCATCAACACACCAGTGACCCTCCTATAGGTAGAAGTCGGTCCTCAGTTTCCACAGCCTGAAAACCTTGAAAGTCATCATACCAAAACCAAATCATACTCTTGTTTTTGATTCTGACTCATAGCAACCCTATAGGACAGAATAGAACTGCCCCATAGGATTTCCAAGGCTGTAAATCTTTATGGGAGCAGACTGCCACATCTTTCTCCCACAGAGCAACTGGTAGATAGAACTGCCAACCTTTCAGTTAGCAGCAAAGTGCTTAACCACTGCGCCACCAGGGCTCCTGAAAGTCATTGTAATGGGTCTTTAATTTTTTTTTTTTTTACATCAGCTACTGACATGTAAAATTAGGAGATTTCACATAAAAGTCTGGATTTCCAGCTTTTCTTGAAAAAGTGGAAGAGCTGGCCACACTGGACCCACATTCCTACAGGTCAACAATCAGCTGGAACAGAGTAGAGATGCCTTCCTATAGACAAGGTGCTCTATTCCAGTTGGCCTCCATCCTCACCAGTCCCTATTGTTCCCTGAAACAGAATGTTTACATTTATTATTGCTCTGACGTTGTTTTCCTTAGAGCTGACATTTCTTTTGTTTTGTTTTGTTTTTATTTTTTAAATTCTTTTTTTGCCAATTCAACTTTTTATTTTTTCTCATACAAAAATTTATCGTACATTGTTATGTGACTCTAATTGCTCTCCCCATACTGTGACAGCACACTCCTCCTTTCCACCCCTGATTCCCCATGTTCCTTCAACAAGCTCCTACGCTTCTCTGCCTTCCCATCTCACCTCCGGACAGAAGGTACCCGTTTAGTCTCTTGTATCTACTTGAGCTAAGAGGCACACTCGTCATGAGTATCACTTTATGTCCCACAGTCCAGTCCAATCCCTGTCTGAAGAGTTGGCCTCGGAAATTGTTTTAGTTCTGGGCTGATAGAGAATCCAGGGGTTCCTCCAGTCTCAGTCAGACCATTAAGTCTGGTCTTCTTACTGGAATTTGAGTTCTCTACCCCACCTTTCTCCTGCTATCCGGGACTCTCTGTTGTGTTCCCTTTCAGGGCAGTTATTGGTGGTAGCTGGGCACCATCTAGTTCTTCTGGTCTCAGGCTGATGAAATCTCTGGTTTATGTGGCCCTTTCTGTCTCTTGGGCTACTACTTTTCCTTATGTCTTTGGTGTTCTTCATTCTCCTTTACTCCAGGTGGTTGGGACCAATTGATGCATCTTAGATGGCCGCTTGCAAGCTTTTGA